AGAAGAAGAAGAAGAAGAAGAAGAAGAAGAAGAAGAAGAGGAGGAGGAGGAGGAGGAGGAGGAGGAGGAAGAAGAAGAGTTTGGATTTGATATCCCGCTTTATCACTACCCGAAGGAGTCTCAAAGTGGCTAACATTCTCCTTTCCCTTCCTCCCCCACAACAAACACTCTGTGAGGTGAGTGGAGCTGAGAGACTTCACAGAAGTGTGACTAGCCCAAGGTCACCCAGCAGCTGCATGTGGAGGAGCAGAGACACGAACCCGGTTCCCCAGATTACGAATCTACCGCTCTTAACCACTACACCACACTGGCTCTCCAAAGCACCTGGATAGTGTTTTGGATGCCATGATCTAATATAACAACCTCTCAGGATTCAGCCCTGGTCAGAACTTGAACCTGAGGTCCCTTTTGAAGACGAACAAAGAAAACAGAAATTCTTCTCTTTGCCATCAGATCTTCCCACTATCAGTGATCATGAAGAGCCATTGGATCCAGACATCCTTGCTCTAGGACAGGAGGTCATCACAGCAGCAGCCTGGGTCTCTGTCTGATTATCTCTCTCACTCTCATGTCCCCAGGGTGGCAAACCAAGTTAAGTAAGTTTTATTTTGTCTGTTAGGCCTAGAACTTCGTCTTTCATCACCTCTATTTGCTTCAGCACCTCAGACCTGCCTCCTGCAAAAGTTAGTTCAGGCACTATATATTCCGCCCTGATGGCAGATGTAGAATATTCATTTAGCTTCAATCTCCTTATCCTGTTTTAGCACACCTTTGATGCCCTTGTCATCCAAGAGTCCAACCATCTCCCTAGATGGTGTCCTGCCACTAATATATTTAAAAACTTATTGTTGTTGGTGTTAATGTTTTTAGAGATGTGTTCCTCAAATTCCTTTTTAGCATCCCTTACTGTCTGCTTGCACTTTTTGAGTCAAATTTATTTGTTCTCTTCATTTGGACAAGATTTCCATTTTTTAAATGAAGTCTTCTTTCCTCTAATAACTTCTTTAGCTCTGCTCATTAACTACACTGGTGTCCTCTTGGCCCTTGATTACCCTTCCTGCTCTGGTGTATACACTCCTGTTGAGTTTCTAATATTTTGCTTCTAACCAACTCTCAACTTGGGACCTACTGCATGCAAAGCTCTACCACTGAGCTCCCCCAAATCTGGTAGACAGCTAATTTCTGATCTGCACATTTATTTGGGAGGTGATGATCTCCTCAGTTTATGTATGTGTTTGCAAATATCAAATTTCTCAAGCATCCTGCCTTTTAATTTGTGTGGGTCCTGCCTTTCCTTTCAAACATGTCTTGATGACTCTTGAATGCCATCAGACAAATTGGGGGTGTCTAGGTTTTCGCCTACCTCAGAGCAATTTTAAAAACATCATGGCATATAAGGCATTGGGTTGGATTCTTAGTCAAGGTGGATGAGGGAGTGTTGGGAGCCCCATTCCCCAAACCAAGGAATAAGGGTATCCCATTAAAGGGATCCAGGGGCAGTTGCTTTTGTCTGGATGCCCAGACTCGAAGCTGATAGGCCATAGCACATTGGAGGGGTCGCCCCAATTTGATGTATGTCATAGGGTGATCCTTAACCTTGGCTAACCCTGCCAAATAATCAATCAGCAGTTGGGCTGGTTGATGCATGATACACACCAGTACCTGCACCAAAATCTGCTGACTATCTGGCTATCATCAATCACAACATAATTATCTCCATCGGCAGACTGCTGACAAAAGGCATTTATTTCTCCATGTTCCCTCCCTCTCTCTGCTACATATGTAATGTGTTGCTTGCTGGCAGGGTAGGCCTATCCTGTTTCACCACCTGAGGCAAAATGGAAAGGTGCCTCCCTCCTCTCAAAGCCTCACTTACCAGGACCACATGGTGGTGTCTTCCAGCAAGATGTCGTGAATTCTCACAGAACTCTTGCAAGGTCTTGCTGGAAGCCACTGCTGCTGCTTCTTGTTTCTCTGGTGGAGGTGGATGTGGGTGAGGTGTCTGCCGGGCACTGCCCCATGAGATTCTGCCACCTGAGGCAGCATGATGGAGGTTGGAACCTTCTGCATGCAAAGCAGATGTCCTACCGCTACCTTCATCGGACTCCCTCCTTGTTGTCCCTCTACAAGCAGGTGAAGACTGTTCCATTTGTTTTTTGTTTTTTATGGAAAGGGCTTTTAATAGCCCTGTGCTATTTTTATTATCAGTATTTTAATAGATTTGTTCTTTATATTGTTTTAATTCTATAAGAGTTTAATTACTTTTTAACAATTATCTCTTATATGTTCTTAGCTTTTTGTATTTTGTCTGTATTGTTTTAATTTGTGTAAGTCACCTTGCATCCTGGTCTGGGGGAAAGGCAGGATATAAAAACACTGCCGCTGCTACTAACTATGATAATTGCTATAGAGTAGGTTGGGAGTGGGAACAGGGAACAGGAAAGGGGGGATTTTGAAGTGATTTAGCCTAGGTTACATGTCAACCCAGTTGTGCTATAGAATCTTCAATAAGACTGATCTCCACACACACCATGCCTTGCATATTGGTTTTTAAAGCTGCAACATAATTCACAACAGGACTCTCTCTCTCTCTCTCTCTCTCTCTCTCTCTCTCTCTCTCTCTCTCTCTCCACCACAGCCATGTCTATGAGAAGGGAAATGTTTCACACCTACTTTGCACTTGTATAAATAGCTACACTGGGGAAACAGGGCCCACAGTTTTACAGTTCCTTGAAAAGATGTCAGCAGCAAAATCACACTTAATTAACATGCAGGCTTAAACTTGTCATTTTTCACTGAATGCCCAAAGCACATATTTCTTTTATAGGCTATGCAACCCAAATAGTAGTAGGAGAAAAGACTCTGTAACTGTTTTCCTCATTCTCTTTGTGGAATAATTGTTCTGAATTGAAGGAGTGTCAGAGCCTACTGTATAATATATCCCCATTGCACATTGTTAACATTCTCAAAGCACTCCTAGTCAAAATTGTGCCTGGTTCTGGAAAGCAAGATTTGGAAACAGATTTAAAGTTACAGCTGGGTGGATTGAACTCATCTCAGAACAGTCGGGGGGGGGGGAGTGGCGGTGGCAATGCAGGGGGGCTCTCATCTAACTTTATGGCATGTTTTAGCCAAATCTGAATCTACAATAAGTCTCTAAACCAGGGTATGTGCTAATGACATTATGCACACATGCAAATACCAGGAGATCTCCTCATTGTGGTCTACAAAATCTATAATCACCCAAGAGTCATACAAGGAGATGGGAGAGGCCTCAATGGGTTCAACAACAAGATATGATGTCTAATGCAAGTTGGGTCTCTCCTCTGGCCCACACATGTTCCTCAGAAGGATGTACCTGAGGGAATATTTCAGAACTGAAAATAAATTATCATCCCTGCTGCAGCCATTCAGCTGTGCCTTCTGTGACACCCACCTTGCATTCTACTTTCCAAAATTTCACAGAATAACAAGAGGGATGCTCCTGTAAACACAAAACGGACAGGGCCTCCACAATTCAGACTACAATTGGAACACAGACAGGGGATCAGTGCATGCAGACATCAAAAGCGAACATGGATCAAACTATTGGCTATAGAATAAGCAAAGCCATAATGACTTGCTATGTTCTAAACATGACGCATACTTGTGTGCATCATTTTGGAGATATTGGAGAATGCATTTATTCTTTTTCATAGATAGTGAACACTGTCTTTATATCTTTTGCACGTTAATATTTTTATTAAAGTTTTTAATGATTATAGATAAGCCCCTCCGAAGCACAGCTAGCTCCAGCACCCATCCTTGACCCCATAACCTCCTTACTCCCCCACCCCTCAAACTCCAGGCCCCCCCAGGCCTGCCTACACTCCAGAAGCTACACCCTTTCCCACCATCCCACTACCCCACCACTCCAACACCACCAAGGCCTGCTCCTGCCACGGATCTCCTCCAGCCACCCCCTCTTCTCTTCAAGCCTGACCTGGCTCACTTTCTCCTTCTTGTTTTTATTTGGCATGGCCTGCGGGATGGGTGGCTAGGTATCTGCCTAGCCAGAGAGTCACAGCCTCCCATGGACAGTGGTGGCAGTGGTGGTGGTGTTCCCATTGCCTTGCTCCGCCTTGCCTCACTCCCCCTTCCTCCTCTTCTTCTTCCTGCTACTGCTGCTGCTATTTCACCAGCCAGCCAGCCAGCCAGCCAGCCTAGCTCCTTCCCTCGGACCCAATTCATCTCTTTTTCCCACACCCCACCTTCTCCAACTCCCAGGAGTGGCAGCAAAGGAGGTGGTAGTGGTGGTGGAGGTGGAAAAGGAGGAGGAAGAAGAGGAGGAGTTATTTTCTCTTCAACAAAGATGGCAATTTGGGACTCTGCATGACAAAGTGAGAAGTCGTGATGGCTTAAGGGCTTTTGTGACACTCCTGGCATTTTCAAGGCAGTTGGCGACTATGCATATGCCCTTTCACAACATATCTGTCTTACACTCAAGAAGCAGGATTATATAGGCCTACAACACATAGAGAAAATACAGGATAAGCTTTAGACTATTGACTATGGGACGCGGGTGGCGCTGTGGGTTAAACCACAGAGCCTAGGTCGGCGGTTTGAATCCCCACGATGTGGTGAGCTCCCGTTGCTCGGTCCCTGCTCCTGCCAACCTAGCAGTTCGACAGCATGTCAAAGTGCAAGTAGATAAATAGGTAACGCTCCGGCGGCAAGGTAAACGGTGTTTTCATGCACTGCTCTGGTTTGCCAGAAGCAGCTTAGTCATGCTGGCCACATGACTAGAAGCTGTACGCCGGCTCCCTCGGCCAATAAAGTGAGATGAGCGCCGCACCCCTAATGGTCAGGGGTCCCTTTACCTTTTTACTGACTGCAAAACATCTTCTGTTCCAAGGACCTCCATCTCAAAGGTTTCCTTCCAAGCAGCTGGCCAGCCAGCACTGCTGCCACTGCAACAACTTGCAGAAACAGATTCAGACCCCTTTTGCACTTTAGGGAAAGGACCGTAATTCAGTGGTAGAGCATCTGACTTGCACTCAGAAGCTCCCAGGTGCTATCTCTGGCATCTCCAGGTAGGGTTGAGAAAGATTCCTGCCTGAAATCATTGAGAGCCATCAAAACCCACGTCTATTCATTCTTGTTCTCTGTTCCTGATATGCCATCATTTTCCTGTTGCATTCTCATATTTATAGTTCATATCAAATAAAGCCGATTTAAAAAGAAAATAAAAAAGAACATGTCCTCTGAGAAATCAAGCTGAAGAAACTCAACTTAATTACCATCTGGCTAGTTCTGTTCTCTGTTGCTTCCCTGGCAGAAGGCCACAACTCCATTTTATCATGAAGATGTTTACAGGGGAAGGAAAGTTGTTTAGAGAGGATGCTCTTTCTCGCTTCCACCAAATGAGAATTCAGTTAACTTTCCCATAGTTTGATTCCTTCGCATAAGCTACCAGTCTTAAATAAATATATCAAATGCAACCAAAGCAACACTCTATGAAATATTCTCTGCTGCAGTGGTGGACAGACTTCAAGCTTGCTGGTTCTTTTCGTCTTCTTTTTACAAGAAACTTGAGGTCCGTTAAACAATGCCAGGTGCAAAATGATGACTGGAGAAGCATACATTTTGAATTAAGTAATAGGGTGTCGAGGGACACAGGTGGCACTGTGGGTTAAACCACAGAGCCTAGGACTTGCCAATCAGAAGGTCGGCGGTTCAAATCCCCAAGATGGGGTGAGCTCCCGTTGCTCGGTCCCAGCTCCTGCCAACCTAGCAGTTTGAAAGCACGTCAAAGTGCAAGTAGATAAATAGGTACCGCTCCGGCGGGAAGGTAAACGGCATTTCCGTGGGCTGCTCTGGTTCGCCAGAAGCAGCTTAGTCATGCTGGCCACATGACCCGAAAGCTGTACGCCAGCTCCCTCGCCCAATAAAGCGAGATGAGCGCCGCAATCCCAGAGTCGGTCACAACTGGACCTAATGGTCAGGGGTCCCTTTACCCTTTACCTTTAATAGGGTGCCACTTTCTCAAGACAGGAATCAGTGGCGGAGCTACCTGCCCCGGCACCTGGAGTAGTGCAGGGGCGGGGCTAGGCAGCCCACAGGGGTGGGGCTAGTCATCCGCATGGTAAGCATGGTAGGGCGCCCCTAGCCGTCTGTGTGGCAAGCGTCCCTAGCTGCCTGCCACCCGCATTGCGAGTGTGGAGGTGCGTTGCTTGCCGCCCGCCCAATGAGTGTCCCTAGCTGCCTGCTGCCTGCGTGGAAAGCATTGAGGGGGCGCCGCTAGCAGCCCACAGCAGCAGCATCCCTAGCGGCCCACCCCCTGCGCAGCAAGCATCCAGGGTTGCCATCCACGCAGTGAGAATGGGGTGGGGCGGCAATGTCACCTTCCCTCATGGTTGGCACCAGGTGTTCATCGCCTCCCCCCTGCACCCGCCTTCAGAAGCAAACTGAGTTTGCAATGCTTCCACACAAAAATCCACTCCTAGTTATTGTCACTCCTGGTTTTTTTTAATCCTCATTTCACCAACCTAATTTAGAATCAAACAACATTTCGTTGCATTGTTGTTTTCAGAAATCATTGTTGATCTATTGCAAATCAATCAACTTCACTCTCCTGTCTTCCCTGCTTTGAAGGCAAACTGAAGAGGGATAATTCATTCACAATGAAAGTTTGTAGTGGGAGAATTCAATGCAGTCAACCTTTAATGTGGTTTGCACGCGAAAAGTTATGTTTTCATAACACACCTTGTGCAAACTGATTGGTTTCAAATTTAATGTTTTGCTTATCCTGCCTTCATACTGGCATTTTGAATGAATAAAACTATGGAGTGGGATAATTCAGGATGGCAAATTCAGGATGGACAAAGGAAAGCATTTATATGCATGGTATATTATTAACATATAAAATTCACTGCTACAGGTAAGGATGAAGGATTAATTTGATTCAGTTCTCATTTAAAAGAGAACCTATGTAATTCATACTTCCCAAAACAACACATGAACTGAAACACGGCCATCCTTTTTAATTTCAACCTCTCCTAATTTTGCAATGCAGTTCTCCAGCCAAGAAATGTGTACAAAAATGCATAGTGGAAAATAAGACCTTACATTAGGAAAAATTGCATTAAAATATGTATATTAGGAGAAATATGCACTAAAATGCTGATACTCAGTCACTGGTTTGTTTGGTTCCGTTTTGTGTAGACTTTTTGGACAGAACCCTGGAAAAATCCACATAATCAAGGGATTCCGGAGGAGGTGCTTGTACAGTATTTAGTGATTTTTTAACAGTGCACATCCTGCAATATGGATTTACTTGAGCGAGAGCACCTAAATTTAATTTAACTGGACTCACTTCTGAGTACAGTTGAATTAAATTTAGGTGTTCTCTCAAGTAAGTCCACATTTAAAACATGCACATTTTTTATACACTTTTTGCACAGACACAAAAGGATTTCCCCAGGAAAACCCACTCATTAATGCTGAATCAGAACAAACAGCAATTTAGGTTTTCTGCAGATTGCCATTTGCTCCAATTCAGCAGTAAAGAGCAGCTTTTTGTGGGGAAAGCACTGGGACGAAAAACAAAAGAGGGACAGGCACTTAGTCACTGAGCTTTAAAGCATGGATTTGTGCCTAGGAATGTGGCACAAAAGGAAGTCCGGGTGAGCCTTAGATGTCCCACCAGCACAAGGATTTATGTCTGTTCAGTGTGGGTCAGAACCCAGAACCCAGATTGAAGCACAGAGATCACAGAGTTACTCAGAAACTGATCAGAATTTTGACAATGCACAGACAGTGGCGAAGGAAGGAGTGGGGCGGGTGTCAGGGGGTAGGGCAAACCACCCACTGGTGCATGTGTGTGTGCCACTACATACCGCACATGTGTGTGTGCCGCTGCATACCATGCATGCATACGTGCCATACGTATGGCGTCAGGATCCTTCACTCGCAGCTGCAGTGGCATCGGAGAGATCCTTCACTCACAGCTGCAGAAAAGTCGGAGGGATCCTTCGATCACGGCTGCAGCGGTGGCAGAGGGTTATCGTACGACATATGGTGCTCAAGCAGTGCTGCGCATGCACCACCGGGAAGTTTGCCGACGGCACTGCTCGAGCGCTGTATGGATGGCAGAGGAGGGTGCAACTGCAAGTGGATTACCCTCCGCACGCGGCTGCGGCAGCGCAATGGTGACGGCTCATGCCGCTGTGCCTGGGGGCGGTGGGGCGAGCCCCCCACGGGGTGCCTTCTTGTCACCCCTCCTCAGAGATGGCACCCGGGGTGGACCACCCCCCTTGCCCACCCTTCCTCCACCACTGTGCACAGATAAAGTGATTTTGCAATCTGTGTGGATCCTTAATCTTTGCCCTGTTTATGCCTGCATTCCATTTACACCCTCTTCTTCTGTTGCTTCCTTATGTTACATTTTAGATCGTAAAACCCTTGGGGAAGGGACCTATTCTTTGTAAAGTGTCATGTATGTATACAGTGTTGCATAATTATGGTGCTGACAGCAATAGCAACAATACCTCACCCTGGTCTTCCTGTAGAAGAAAATGGAGAAAATATATATCAAAAGTCTCATTTTTTCCTAATTCATTAATCACTGTTACATCTTATTTATTGCTCTTGCTCTTATTCAAAGTTCAATAGCACCTCTTTTTGTAGGCATTATAAGCTAACCATTATTTTTATTTTAAAAAATGGTGTGTGTTTTTTAAAAAAAAAGAAATAAAGGAACATGAAGAATACAGTACAGTTATGGAATTATGAGTGATGATCCATCTGAGTGTGAAGACTGAAAAATGTTTTTCTTTAGGAGGACAAAGTAGATTTCAGTTTCATCCCAAAATGGCTAATACACTGAATTCAGAATTCTCTGTACTAACTCTAGCTGATTTACTGCAAGGGAAGAAAATCTTCCAAGCAATTTGTTTTATGATATCACCTGCAAAATTTCTCCTAGTGATGAAGAATCAATAACTTCTCAAACAGACGTCATGAGCTCTGCTTGCTAAAGGATGGAACAAACACTTTTCATCTATCTTCCTACACACTTGTCTTCAAAAATGCTTACTGTGGAGTGGTCCCCTTTCAATCAGTTGACGTGAGACTTCTCTGACTAAGTGGTCTCAGACGCAGCCAATACTTGAATATAATAAGAGCCCTGAATATCCATGCAGTTGAGAGCATTCACCTTTACACAATCTCATGCCTTTCATAACCAGCACCCAGTGTTGTTTGAAAAGGGGGTAGTTTATTCTCATGTGGGAGCAGCTTGCCACTGTGTTGTACTCAGCTTGGAGAGAGAGGGGAGGGTTAGAAAGCTCACACGGGGGGTTACAGAGACTTGCTGCTTTTCCCACCTTAGTGTGGCCCCCAGAGTGCCCACTCAGAGTATTCCCCCTCCCCAGCTGCCACTAATAATGAAGTCCCTGCTCCTGCGTCTCCAGCCAGCCAACTCCTTGATCATGCTGCCAAGTGATCCCGAGTGAACTGTCAACAAGCCCAGCATTAGATCAGTGGAAAGGGGAGGAGGAGGAGGAAACAAAAATGGCCTTGAAAAGTGTGTTCGTGGCAAAATGAGAAGGAAGGGACAGGACCCAACTCCACTAGTCGCCTTACAGTGCAGGAGCCACTTTGCTCCTGCTAACAGATCCTCACTGCCAGTGTGGTGTGGTGGTTAAGAGTGGTAGACTCGTAATCTGGGGAACCGGGTTCGTGTCTCCGCTCCTCCACATGCAGCTGCTGGGTGACCTTGGGCCAGTCACACTTCTCTGAAGTCTCTCAGCCTCACTGTTTGTTGTGGGGGAGGAAGGGAAAGGAGAATGTTAGCCGCTTTGAGACTCCTTCGGGTAGTGATAAAGTGGGATATCAAATCCAAACTCCTCCTCCTCCTCCTCTTCTTCTTCTTCTTCTTCTTCACTGGACCTCTTCCTATGTCCTGGCATGACTGGTTGTTTATGTTTTGCTTTCTGATGCCTGTAGCCTGTCCAATCTCTGATGTCTATATGCACAGTCTCTGATGTCTGTTATCCCTTGTCCCCCAGTGGCTCAACAAGGCCCCATTGG